AAAGACCCCGTGAGAGGTAGGCATCAAAAGGGAGAGGCTGGGACTTAACAAGCAGATGAGCTTATTCCATTTAATGATCAGTTAGGGCCCAAGAGGATAATCTGTTTTACTCCAATCACACGTCCACTCTGATTCAGAAAACAAATATCTAATGTTTCCTGGGTCTTACGACATGAAGCTCCTTCCACAGCATTCGATATCTGCTTTTAGTGCTGTCAGTTATCCTTGCTAGCCCGGCTGGGAGCTCTCTCTTTGTGTAAAGCGTCCGCCCGACACATCCTGGGTAAATCCTCATGGCCCGTGGTATCTTACACCAAGTCCCCTCTGGCACCTGAGGGAAGAGGCGTTACTGTCATTATGTCAGGAATGCTGTGTATCCTTCTTGGGAAGACTGTTTAGCCCACGTCTGGTCCACTATTCTAAAGCAGACCCTGAACGGTCTGGTACCCAGAGGTACCACGGGTCTCCAGAAGGCCCTGACGGAGGGTTCTAAACCGGTCCTTATACTTTCATCAGTGATCCTCCCAAAACACAAGTTAGGGCACTGCCTCCTCAAAAACCAGCAAGGTTTTGGCCTATGACAGGAAAGGCCTTCATGACTGGGTGCCAGAATATGCTCATATTTTCAACTCCAGTTATGCAAGTCTAAGAATGCCTTTCTCCAGCCACATCAAGCCACTTGCAATGGCCTGAGCACTTTCCTATTCCCCTCATCGGGCAGAAGAATGAAGCAGTAAATAATATGGGTTTGGAAACCAAACCATCTGGGTTCAAATCTTCCCAATTAGGTAAGACTTACTAGATTTACTACTCTTTACATCTCTGTGACTCAATTTCCTTATCTGTAAAATGGACGAGAGAGCAATCCCTCCTCCTGGAGCTGTAGTTAGGATTCCATGAATTAACAGGCCTAACGCTCTTGGAACGATGCCTGGTACCTAGTAAACAATGGACAAGGGTGGCTAATGCTATTAGTCGAGAATTCTCCAGATCCTTCACAACCCAGGCTCAGCCTCCCAGACCAGAGGTAATGAGGGCACCCTCTGCTCCCACAGCCCATGCTGGTAGGTCTCTACTCTGTCCTTATTCCGTTCTGCTGTATATGCTTGTCTGTCTCCCACATCAAACCGTGAGCATTTTGAAGACATGTGAGCCATGTAGCTTGAAGAATGTAATCCACCTTACTTTACACCCCTCAAAGACCTTCCACAACATCTTGAGTACGGTAGGCTCTCTCTAAACACTTCCCAGATAAGAATTAATCTGAGAAAAGAAATAGAAGCAGGCAGCTAAAACGCATAACCTTTCGGGTTGCATTTGAGGACACAGTGTGGGAGCCTGGGCATCTCCCCCATTACCATCTACCCGCTGAAGGCATATTCTCAGCAGCCAAGAAGCATCCGTGAAGGTAACTACTCGAAGGTGGTTGTAAGAAGAACCAAATGTGACAGTAACTGGGGCCGGGATTTAGGAATCCAAGAATCTCCTTCAACTGGAGTCAAAATGGTGTCCAATGAACTTTCTTTTTCCTAGAGAGTGTTTCTAGACAGATTTCACTAGAGAGTCAAGGGGGTCTGGGAGGCCGCCAAATTAAGAACCCTTGACTTAGCGATTCAGAGACAAAGTTCCTGCCCTCTAGAGCCTCACGACTGAAGGGAGACAGAGCTTTCCTGACAGGGCACAAACCCACTGAGTAGGGAGAACGGGGCAATAGGTGCTTGGGGATTTTAGAGGAAAACTAGGAGAGGCTCCTTAAATAATTCCCTGTTAAGAGACCCACAGGGAGATGAATACAGGGCCCCGGTTAACTCCCCAGCCTGCTCCTTTGTAGGATTTGAAGCCAAAGGTCTCTATCATGACACACAGACCCCTGGCTTGGAGCACAGACGCTCACCATTTGGCTCAGTCTGGCTGTGAGGGTTGTTTTCTGTGTCAGGGTAACTACAAAACATACGGCCTCAGGATCCAGACACACAAAGCGAGGCAGTTCATCGAATGATTGTGCAGAGAGTTAAGTGACACTTAAAAACCAGGGTAGACCCTGCTACCAGAACAAAGGGGAGACAAAGACCATTAGTGCAGAGTCCCTGTAGCATTTCCTGCTGGCAGATGGCTTGCAAGGACCCCTCACGCAGGAGCCTGTTTTATTTGCAGAGGCCACAGTGGTAAATTAAAGCCCAGCCCAGCCCATTCTGGGCTCTCCGGTTTCTCTTGGAACTGTTCCTATCACTGCCTGTAGGCCACTAAAACCTGCCCGCATTCAGAATGATTGATTCTGCTCAAGCAGCAAGCCACAAACTCATGTCGAAACACCCACTTCAAATGAGTCATTAGCCTCCTTTATGGATGTTTCAGGCCACAGGGAATAGGACCTGGGAGTCCTATCTTTTGTAGAGTAGAAAGGGAGTGTTTGAAGATGTTGCAGGGGAGGACCTAGAGAAACCGCAAGGTGGTACAGGAACCCCTCTGTCTGCTGTCAATTAGCAAGAGGGAGCTAGAAAAAATAAGCCCCGGCAACCTCACGGCCAGGGCCAGGGATTCAAACCAAACCAAACCAAACCAAACCGCGCATGGGCTCTTCGTTCCCACCCAGGAAACGAACGGCATCAGAGAGAGGGCTCAACACCCTGTCTTGGCTCCCACACCAGACAGTCTGTAGAGTACCTGGAACACAGAAAGTCAAGGTGAAGGAGGAGTGTCTGAGACTTTCTGACTTGTCATGGGACAGCCCGTTCCAGCTGAGCAGCAATCGAGGTCGTCGTGGGCTGGTGGGGTAAAGTGCCCTGGTGACAGTAGCCACGGCCATAGCAGCAGCCCAAAGGCACCAACACCAGAAACCCGAGTTCTGTAGCTTGGCAAGTTTCAGCTCACCGCCTGACCCACGTTTAGCAATTCTGATGTACCGCGGAGCAGACAGCTCCAGCCTGGGATGACTGCCTTCCTCAGCCCCTCTCCGACAGGCAATGAAAGCAAGACCCACTTTGAAAATTCTCCCCCATCATGCAAACTGACACAGGCATGCTTTTCAAAAGCCCACAGCCAATCTGTTGATCATTACTTATTTACAAAGGCCTTCGGGCACAGAGTCCTGTAAAAACCATACTTGTTACAGTACATACTAGCTTTTTCTGCTTGTGGAAAAAAAGTCCCCCCAAGGCTACCTCAAACCATCACTTTCTATTGCACGTAAAATGTAGCGTGTAACACTAAAGTATTTAATATATAGGGTATAATATATATACAGGAACGGCATTTGTGCAGAAGTATGTTACCCTGGATTTGGTAATTTGATGTTTTGCTGAAGGCTACGACTTAAAGAAGCTTCCACCTCGTACAGAAGACCTGTCATCTTGGTACCCAAGAGCCAACAGAAGAAAGAAGTACCCTTAAGCAGCAAAACTTTGACACAGCTTTGAAGCATATGAAAACAGTATAACGCCTCAGAATTATTATTACTCAAGATCAGAGAAGTGAGTCATACTTTACATAGCAAACAGGGACAGGGAATTTGGCTCCAAAGGTTTCAGATTTTTCAGACTTCTCTTTATTTATTTATTTGCTTCTCTAAATTTAGGCACAAGAAAGCGCCTGGGCTTTACTTTCAATGGATAAAACTATTAGCATGAGATGAGGCGATTACCTAAAGGTGAGTAAATGCAGAGCGGATGTGAGCACGACAACTGGCATCATAAAAGGGAGAGGCTTGGCAGTCGTTGGCACATTTTATTCCTCCTCATAAACCGTAAACAAGCATGTAAATCAGCAACACCCAAGCAAGACTGAGTGAAGGGAAGCCAGAGAACTGCTGAGGAAACGTTGAACAGGAAGGGAGGATGGTGACGGAAAAGGACATGGGGCTGGGTGTGTCTTCTCCTGGGACCTGCGTCCTCAACCAATGAAGATGGACTGCCCTCTCTCCATCCTAGAAAGGTGGTCATGGGGAGCCAGGAAGATGCAAATGCTTGGAGCAGGGGAGGAGGAAGAGGAAATCGCTGTGATTTTTAAAATCAATAATCAAAGGGAAGAGAGCAGCCAGTGGCGATGAAAAGAAGAAATTATCGTCAAGATGGCAGGTGTTTCCACGGCAGGAACCATTTAGGGGAAGCAGTGCAAATCTGAAATCACTGCTGTTTCATCGAGGTGCTGGAGAGCTGGGGTGATGGGGGAAAGACGCACTGGGATTGGCAGATGAATCGAAGACAGAAAAAGGAAGATGAAAGATGAAGAGTCCAAGGAGAGGGTCCAACAGAATTCTACTGAAAATTGATTTCACTTGCCATTTCCTAGAGGAAGCTGCAGTCAAGATAGAAAGAAGGGAGGGAGGGAGGGAGGGAGGGAGGAGAGAAAGAAGGAGAGAAAAAGACTGCACACAAGCTCTATTTCATAATTAATATTGCTTTTAGTCTGAGCAGAACTGGATTACTTTTGAACTTTGCTTTGGCAAGTCCACAGATTATTAGACTTTTTTATCAGTCAAAATCAATTAACAGAAATTTGATTTCAATCGACAGGATAAAGAGAAGGTAATCGTCAGGTTCATTTTTGATTGTGATGATACATCTCACATATGGCCTTAAGTACAGAAAACAGTCCTCGGAGGGACTCCAGGAGAAAGAGACTTGCTGGAGGCAAACTAACCACACGGGTTCCTCTGATTGGTTGCCGCTGTCATTAGTGCCACTGCTGTTTAGGAACTACACATAGACAGGACTTGGTGACAGCTCAGACTTTAAAGCCTATGTATTTTTCAAACAGCTTTTCAAACTGTTTTCCATGACAGAATTTTTTTCAGCTCTATCATTAACTGCTGACAAGCTGACAGAATAAATACTTCAGCCTTTAAGAAGCCATCTAACGATCTCGTCCCTTCCTCCGCCGCGAGCCTGCCGGGGAGGGGAGCCTCTGGGCCTGGCAGGGTGGGGAGGGGGCGAGGACAGGAGATGGAGCGAGAGGGGGACCCACCGGTGGACCCACCGCGTGGCCCGGGCCCCTATCCTTACCTCATCAGCTTGGGCGAAGAGCTGGGTGAGTTCCGCATGCCTCCGTTGCGCTGCTTTTTTTTGGGTGACAGTGTTGACGGCTGCTCATCTTCAACTGGAAATACAGGCAGCTCATGAGATTATGAACAGCTTGAGGGCAGACTGTGCAATACAGGCAAGATATCAAAGGACACACACTCACGGCTCAGTCACTCACTAGGAATTCATGGCCATCTCTTAGGACCCAATGACAAAGACCAATGCGTTAGTCAAAGAGGCCGGCTTAGAAAAGGTGAGGGCATCACCTCTTGACACTCCAGCGTTTGAACATGCAATTTAAACAGACTAAAACAGCGTGAAAACACCCTGCCATTAGAGAGAAAAGAAATTATAATCTATCTGTACACCAATACATGTATGTGTGTGTGTGTGTGTGTGTGTGTATATATATATATGTATGTATATATATATATATGTATATGTATATATATATGTGTGTCTTATCCCCTTTATATTATACTGTACTTACTTACTGTATATTGTATATATACTGTATATATACATATATATATATATATATATATATATATATATATATATATAGGAACACTGCGTCATTCTGCTTAGAATTTCTTTTTGGTTACTTTGTTTTGCTGGGTAATCAAATAGGTTTTCTTGTAACCAAAATCAGAAATAAAGTTGTATTTGAAGCAGCAGCATAAGAGCTGCCAGCTGGCTGCTTCTGCAAATGGACCAATGTAACCAGGTCCTAATTCCTACATGCCAGAGGAAAGAGCCTTGGGAAGGAGGCAGGGATTTGAGGCCTTAACAGCCAATGTTTCATTCCGTCAGGACTGGGAACATTGGTACGTTCTGGTTCAAGAATCCCAGCCCAACTCAGCTCTCGTCCCTCCACCTCCCAAGAGGGAGGGCCTGTGTGCATGGGATCCTTTCTTAACTCATTAAGATGGGAGGAAGGGGCTGCAAGGTTGCAGAACCAGGCCGGAGAAGAGCGCCCAAATGAAGGAGGAGGCTGCCACTGAATGCTGTCTCTGAGGAGGGGGAGGGAAGGCGGGCAGCAGAGGGGACTGGAAACCACAGGCTGTTTTCCAAATGTCTAAACCACAGAGATCACTAAGCGATCCAAAATTCTGCTCACAAACAACACAGCACCCTCTACTGCTTTTGCCCAAAGACACCCACTAATAAGCTCTGGAGATGTATTAGCCTGTATCACGTTTCTTTTTAAGACAGCTGCTTGATAATTAGCAGATTGCGTACCCAGCCTGCCACCCGAGGGCACCGGCAGCAAAATCCTAGTCTGCCTCTCCCCACGCCCCACAATACAGGCTAAAGCTGTAATGTCAACAAGGAAAAATAGGATCCTCGGACTCTGATTGTTGACTGCAACACAGACTGGGAGGAAGCACCCCTGAAACTCAAAATAACACGCAGTTACCTTAAAGCTAAGAAGAGAAATATTAGCAGCGACAACATCAAAAGAAGCTTTGATATATGTTGAAGGTGTACAAGGCTTAGGTGTGGGGAGGAAATGCCATCTCAGCTACTTGATGTTATCCAGGAAGACCCATATCAGAACATGCATGATATGGTACTTCCCGGAAAACCCTAGATAACATTTAGTGTGTTATGATACATGGTCCCAAAGAGATAATAATCATCCAACTACCCTCCAAATCTGTTTCAAGGTATCACTCTAGGTACACTCCTTTATTCTGCCAGTCTGGGGTTGTCTAACTTCTGGCTGACACAGGGAGAGGGAACAAGAATGTGGCTGGAGATGAGAGCATGACCAGAAGAAATGAAGGCAAAAAGGCACCTGCAAATGCCCACAGCCCTTACTCGCTACCACCTGCTCCCCGCTGTCCTGTTCCCCCAGAGGGCCAGGCTCAGGCTGCAACCATATCAGTCACTTAAGGGCTCCAGGCAGGAACTATGTGGCCGGGAGGATATCGCATCTTATCAGAAACGAGTATCCACAGCAAATCACATAGAGACTAAATAGCACTTAAAAGATTAAAGGAAATAAATACAAGCCACATAAATGGTATTGAAAAAAATCACTTAGAGGTGATATGCATCTCTCAGCAAGCAAACAGGCGCTCTGAGCTTGACCTGCATTCATCTTCCTTTCACAGGATAGGGGGCCAGGCATCCCAGGCAATAATGGGGTAGAAAGGCAGTGAGATTGAGAGAGAGAGAGAGAGAGAGAGAGAGAGAGAGAATGTGTGTGTGTGTGTGTAAGTGTACTTTTGCACTTTCCCCACCTTAGGATGGGGTAGAAGTCTTGCATTGACTATCCCCATAATACAAGGTCATCTTTTAATATGGACCACTTGCAATGGTTGCACTGTGTTCAGGATGACCTAGATTAGTTGAGTAGCATGATGTACTAAATAACATGTGCGCATGTGAATTGATCTAGTAGGAGGTGGGAATTCTTTTCTTCTCTATCACACAAGCCTTCTTGTGTGATATCCAGAAAGGTCTTTTAGCTAACCTAGTCTATGTGGCTAGCCTTATTCAAGGCCGCCAGACGTTGCCACGGTTTTGTCTAATTATACAATGAGTCTACAGTCATTAAGAAGTCACACTCACTGGCATTTCTGCTATAGATTCTTTTTCTTACTTTTCCCTTTCCCATTTGCACTGGGCCAACGATACCTAACCCTCTCTGGTTAAGTGCCCATTAACATTGCACCTTGTCACTGTCTGTTTACCTGCAGTGATCTTCAGATGGAAGACTTGCAAGTTAATACCTGTTTACCAGCTTCAGGGAAACACCTTGTTCTGGTGCTTAAATCAGGTCTCCTTCTATGCAAGGAAACGATTTATTTTCATCGCAACTCAGAAAGAGCACCCATCATAATCATACTGCATTTAAACTGGGATTTGTTCTCTTAAATGAAATGCATGTTCAAAGGTTTCCTCCTGCACTCATGGCCTGGAAATGCAGATCTTCTCCCTGAAGAGTTGGGGGGAAATGTCTCCAGCTTAAATATACAAACGTTGTGTGACGGAGACCATTACATACGGCTTAGATCCCACAAGAGGAGCAGGGATAACTTCTGTCTCCTGAGTATGATATAAACCATATTTAATTATTATCCTTTAACATGGAATCTATCAATTTCTGCATATTTAAAGAAAGCAGATCGAGGAAAACTTTTAGTTAAGCTATAAAATATAATTTTCATTTCATGTCTTCTGTGACTACATGAGAGGAACAAAAATGGAATTAAAAGGGAGACTTAAATTTACTTTCATGAAAGACAAGTACTGAAGGAATGGGCCGCTACCTCACGCCAATGCACGTTTCCAGGTTCGTAGTTAGCCTGGTTTCTGGCTAATTACACTACACCCGTGTCTCCAGCATGTCCACTAGAGTCGTCCTGCTGTGGTAGCCGTAGGAAGATTAGATCTTTTAAAGGAACCTGACTAACCAGCTTCTTTAAAACACAAACAAGTTCAGGAATCCAATGTGGAATTTTTATAGGAGCTGAACTCCATCCAGTCTCAGAATACGAATAAAATTCAAGGGCTTGTTTTTGCACATCCCTAAGTATAACACTTAATGTGCTGTTGTAACTTCTCAGTGCTCGCTTGTCTAATAGGCACCGAATCTAACAGCTTTACAGTTTGGGAAGACTCAGTGCTAGAAAAATGTCAGGCAAGTCTAATGAGCTTTCAGATCCCTTGGTTTGCGCTGGAGTTTAATTTAAAGTTACAATGATGTTTTAACATGTTTGCTTACACTTGACTAAAGAGGATTCATTATTTCAATGACATAACCTCCAGACAATGTTCTGGGAATTGATTTAAGATGTGATGGTAATTCCAACGGCCTAATGCAGAGTTGAACATCTGTAACAACATTTTACTCAACTTTTCATCAGCATTCTGTTTTTAAGCAAAAGCAAGGCAACATCTTCTAGAAACACTGGCCAGAGCTCTGGGCTCACTTCAAGATGATCATATACTTTACTGCATTTTTTTAAAAAGAGAAATCCCTCTCTTTATCGGCCTAGCTAGCTTGCAAACACTGTGTCAAGGTTCACCAATGCCTCTTTGTGGGTACTTCGAGCAAAATGGGGCAACAATTCCAACTTTCCTAAGTAGTCCAGTGCTAACCCATGATGGATCCAATGCTCAGCTCCAGCCTGGGGGGGGGGGCACATTCCTCTT